ATAGTTAGATAGATAGACAGACAGACAGACAGACAGACAGACAGACAGTCAGACAGACAGACAGACAGACAGACAGATAGATAGACAGACAGACAGACAGATAGATCCCAGTTTTTAAAAAAAAAAAAATGTACAAGTCGTTATGTGGAAAACGAACTTTACAACTTTGGGGGGGGCAGGGAGGATTGGGGGGGTGGGGGAGGATGGGAAGGGATGGGAAGGGGAAACAAAGGAGGAGGCTACAATGCTTGATAAGAAATGTACTCATTATCTTGCCCATGTAATTGTAACCCCTCTGTACAGTATTTTCACAATAAAAAAAATATCATTAACAAAATGAACAAACTGGAAAATAAAGCCACAGACCAAATAATGAAGAGTTGATATTCTTCATATACAAAGACATCTCAGAAATTACTAAGAAAAAGATGATCAAAATGTACAATAAATAAAAAATGTTAAAAAAAAAAAAGACAAGGTAAGTGTAAAGTGTTCAACTAAAAGATAATAACATACATACTTAAAATGTGGTAACATTTTTTACCCTTTTAAGTTGATAAATGTTTTAAAAGGTCTAGTAACTGATTCATTTCCCTAGGAGTATAAAATTGATTATTTTTTATTTTAATGTAGTTTTCATGTTCTTTTTGTTGTTGTTGTTTATTTTGGTGTTTTAACACAGGCTCTCACTCTGCAGCCTAAACTGGCCTTTTCCCTGCTTCAGCTTCCTTAGAGCTGGAATTAGAGTTACAGAACATAATATATTCTTGACAATGTTGTTTTTTAAGGCGAGCACGTTCCCTTTCATCTGAAAAGTTTACTGTTCATTTGCATGTATTAATTGTACAAAGGATTTCATCATGATATTTCTGTGTATGTATATGATGTACTTCAATTAATCTCACCCGTTCCATCATTTCTCATCACTCCTCCCCTTTTACACATTCCTAACAGATTCATTATTATTTTCATACCTACAGAGTGCATTGATCATGTTTGCCCTCCCATTCGATCTCTCCTGTCACTCTCTCCACAACACTTGCTGTTTTACACAGACGTCATCCATTTATTTTTATACGTTAAGTTTCATGTATGAACCTAGGACATGTAATATTTGTCTTTCTCAGCTTGGCTTGTCACACTTAGCTTGACGATCTCTAGTTCTGTCCATTTTCCTGAAAACGATATACGTCAATTCTTGCTTATGGCTGAATAATCCTCTACTATAAGGATATATACCATGATTTCTTTACCCACTCGGTTAATAAGCACCTGAGCTGATTGGGTGAATGCAAGTAGTGCTGCTGTAATCATGGGTGTGCAAGTGTCTTGACTGTATGCTGACTTACATTCCTTTTCTTTTTGAAACACCTGTAAAAGTATGGTTACACAAAAGCACTACAATATTCTGCAGCAATATAACTTTCTCACATAAGGAAATGATTAAATAAATATTGATCTAGACATATTGTAGTATATAGTACAACTAATAAAATCACATTACAGAAAAAAAAACTTAGCATGGTAAATTCTTCATAACATCTTATATGGGATATAAGTAGATTATAAAGCAACAAAATGATATCTTACCCCCTAAACAATAATTTAAAAAGAAAAGAAAAGGTAAATACATTTTGAAATAAGTGGATGTAGCAGCATTGTGGTAGATTTCCATGGAGGAAATAGTCAAAAGAAATTCACTAAATTGTTAATAATAATTACATTTGACTACTAATAGTGTGATTTGTAGTTTTTTGCACAGGTGGAATTATATACTTTTATATAATTATATACTTGTATATGTTAAAATAAAATTTCATGTTGACAAAAGGAGAATGTATTCAAAAAAGTCACTTATCTTCTAAAGGGTACCAGTTGGAGGATGATAATTAAACCCAGTAAAATGATTTCAGATAAAATGCAGTAACTGGTACTGTGATACTGATAATACACAAATGAGTCCTTCAGAGTTCAGACCCCGGGGAGTGGAGCATGGATGTGAGGAAGATTTCCTTGGGCCAAAGAGCTGTAAACAGAGTAGGTCCTGTTACTCATCATCCAAAGGTCAGTCTCAGCCAGATGCCACTCACAGAGGCTTGCCGGCCCAGTGCAGCCAAGAAGTACAAGCATTACCATAGTCTCGCCTGTGCCTAAGCAACATACAGGTGCTGATGGGGATTTAGTAAACTCTCATGTCCAAAGACAGATAAATCTCAGAGCTCCTGTTTTCAGATACCACAGGTTCCACAGACAAGTTATCTCAGCTTTTCCACATATGTAAGTCTCCTTAAAATACCCTATCTATCCAACACACAATGGGTTACTGGAGAGTCGCAGGGAGTCACTGTTAATCTGGCATTTGCACTAGCAATCAACTCTGCCTGCTTTACAGGAGTTGCAGTGTATCATGAGGAATCCCTTTGAAGTGCTCAAAAGCTTATTACTTGAAATAAGTCTTAAGAAAAAAAAAAACTTTAAGGGAACCCTACTGCATTGATGGTGGGAGTGTGAACTTGGTCAACCACTTTGGAAAGCAGTATGGAGGTTCCTCAAAAGAATCCACATAGAGCTCCCCTAAAACCCAGCAATCCCACTTTGGGGCATTTACCCAAATGAGCACAAACAAGGCTATACTAAAGCTACTACACAACTATGTTTATTGCAGCATTGGTTACCATAGCTATGATATGGAACCAACCCAGATGCTCCTCAGTAGATGAATGGATCAAGAAAATGTGATACACACACACACACACACACACACACACACACACACACAATGAAATTCTATGCCTCCATTAGAAAGAATGACATCACCCCAGTCCCATTTGTTAGGAAATGGAAAGACTTGGAAAAAATTATATTAAGTGAAGTAAGCCAAGCTCAAAGAAACATAGGTCTCATGGTTTCCCTTTTTTTAAAAAAAATTTATTTTATTTTATTTTTTTGTGAACATACTGTACAGAGGGGTTACAATTACATGGGCAGGATAATGTGTACATTTCTTATCAAGCATTGCAGCCTCCTCCTTTGTTTACCCTTCACATCCCTTCCCAGCCTCCCCTCCCAACCTTCCCCCTCCTTCCCCCCACCAACGTTGTAAAGCTCGTTTTCGACATGACAACTTGTACTTCTCATTGTTGCAACAGGTCCACCTGTATCCTTAAACGACTTTTTTTCCCCATCTCCTCCACAAGTTATACTGACATCAAATATAGTGAAAGCAGGGGTTATACTGTGGGGGAGGGACATACAAAGCAACAAAGAGATAATCTTATAAATGCGTTAGAAACAAATGCATGAAAGAAAAAAACATTAAAATACATATCTAAAGGTTCATTTTCCTAACATCTCATTATCTGACCTTTTCCGCTTGACCCATACGTATACTAGATATTGCAAATAAGGGAAACCTCCCATGGTTTCCCTTATTTGAAATAACTAGTATAAGTCGTGGACAAGCAGAAAAGGTCAAAAGCTATGTACATATGACCATATAAGATGATGTTAAGTGAAATGAACCCCAAGACAGGGACACAATTTGTGTTTTCCTTCTTGCTATTGTTTTAAATGTATCTATTGTTTTTAATGTATCTAAAATGTACTATGTGATTTTTTTTGTTTCTCTTGTATGTTCTTCCCCAGGTGTAACCCCTATTTTCACTGTAGTTGATGTAGGTGCCCTCCATCTTGTATATACATTTCTCTAATTTGGGGTGGGGAAGGGAAATAACAAGGATACAGGTTGACCCATTGTAACAATGAGATGTACAAGATACCATGTTGAAAACGAACTTTACAACTTGGGAGGGGGAGAAATGAGGAGGGAAGGGATGGTAGAGGATAAACAAAGGAGGAGGTGACAATGCTTGATAGGAAATGTACTCATTACCTTACTCATATAACTGTAACCCCTCTGTACATTATTTTTACAATAAAAAACATTTTTTTAAAGCTTTAAGTAGTGTCTTGACCTAGGAAACAGAAACTACCAATGATACTTAAAAACTCAGAGCTAAATTAAAAAGAAGCAAATAAAAAATAAATAAAAATCTTAGGTTTGCTGTACACCTGTCATCCAGTCATCTCTTTGGGTGCGCTTTTGAGAGTTGAGATACAGAAACAAGAAGAGTTCCCACATCCAACTTAATCCATTACAAAGACTTACTCATTTCTTCTACAGTCCTTTAGTACTATGATTTCCAACTGTTGGTCTCTACTAAACTATTCTGTAAAGCATACAGAAAGTATAGATGGAAATGAACTTTACAACTTGAGGGGAGACGGGAGTAGGGAGGAAGGGAGAAAATGAGGGAGGGGGGTACCACTGTTCAAAAAGAAATGTACTCGTTACTTATGTAACTGTACCCTCTCTGTATATCACCTTTACGATACAATCAAGGTACAGATGGTCAAAGAACTTAAATCCAAGTCCAACTAAACCCACCTCCCTCCCCGCAGTTAGTGAGGCCCGCCCAGGGGGGTGTGGCGCGGGCTCTGCGGGCTGCCCGCTGACTCTGGGACCCCTGGGGTTAGAACTGGCAGCTCTGTGTGTAGAAGGGAGTGGCAGGGAAATGGGGTGCCCAAAGATCAAAGAAGAGACCATGAAAACCCCAAAGTTGTGAGTTGCCAAGTTTACTCCTGGTGTTGCCCCAGAGCCTTGGAGGGCCTGGGGAGCGGGTTCAGTTCCGGGCTGAGGCCTTCCCAGGGATGTGAACTCACTCTTGGAGAAGTGTGTCAGGGAGCAGGGAGTGCACGCAATCAGAAAGAGTAACCACTCCCGACGTGCACCGAGGCGCTGGGCGGGGCTCAGGTGCCTGGCTCCGTGCGCCTGGGGTAACAAATAACAGCTTTCCTGGGGTGGCCAGCCCGGTGCGGGGGGCGCGGCCCGCAGGCGCCCGGCCCGGTGCGGGGGGGACCGCGCGCACCGGGCTCCGCCCACACTGCCCTCCGCGCGCCCCGCCCCGCGCAGGTGAGAAACTCCTGCAGTCCCCGGACAGCCGCTGGCCCAGAGCTAGCTAGCTGCCCGGCCACCACCAGCCGTCCGAACCAACCTTCCTGCAGCGAGCTCAGCCCGACCACAAGCTCCCCCGGCTCAAAGTGAAGAACAGGTGAACGCTGGGGGCTGCGGGATGGGGGCGGGGTGGGGAGGGGACCCCGTTAGGCCACCCCCAGGGCTGAGGTTGAGGGTGAGATTGGAAAGCAAAGGTCAGTGCGTGCATGAGCAGCCTGAATCCCAGACAGTGTATTTTTTTCCTTTTGAATTTCGCAGAATACCATTTCCTGGTCTAGGTAAATTGTTGAGGCCCAGGGGGGTGGGGTGGAGGGAGAGGGGGGAGAGGGAGATAGGGCGGGGAAGAGAAGGAGAAGGGCCTGGAGTAAATGTGAGTACCCACCCCTCCCCCTTCCTCAAGGGAAATGGCTCATGAGCTCTGCAGGTGCCTAGATCTAACCTTGGCCAAGACAACTGGACTCCTGGGCAATATTCCTTTTGCTCTGTGGATTCTTATGGTTAGGACTTTGGGTTGAATCATCAGATCAGAAGGGTCTCTGGAACGTGAGGGCTCCACTAAGTTTCTGTGTGTTTCCACAAATCAATAGGGAAAAAAAAAAATCACCCCTAGAGAACACTTGAAAAGAAGTTGGGATATAATGTAAGATCGCACCAAACAATGAAAGGATACTCGTAAATAATTAAATGAGGGGGAAGGACACAAACTCTGAGTCATGGGTTCTCTCCTATTTGCCAGTTCATTCAATCACAACACTGAACCCATCACAAGCAGCAGAATACTCTCTGCAATATAGGGTTGTCCTGGGAATGAAACACCAGGAAGATGTTTCATAAATGGTACCTCCTATCACCATGAAGTCACCGCAGCCCTCAAGGAGGTAGAGAACCCTGAACTGATCTCAGCTGAGCAGGCAGCTTAGGGGTACTGGCATCGAACTGGCTTCCAGATGTAGAGTGTGAGACCTAGATCAAGTGGCAGGTGCTCAAGCATCATGGCTCTGAGTAACTAGGGACCCACCTGGCCCCTGGCCACTTTTCCCCATTGTTCTATGGGGACAAATTTACCTGCTAACTCAATCATAGATTTAAACTAAATATATATATTTATATATATCCATATATAATTTTATTGTTATTACTAAGGTGTTGTACAGAGTCAATCATGTTCAACTTGGAAAATTCATGCTCATCCTTATCTATTATTTCCATAAACAAAACAAAAATTTTCAGTTAGAGGAGTATACACTCTCACATTGTGGAACCCCTGCCATCATCATGTCATAAAAGAGACTGTATTGAGTGACTTTGATAAAATGAGCCCATACAATCCATGCCTTGTATTGGTAATCAAATTGAATTGCCTGTAGTAAAATAATGCTGACTTTTCTTTGTGTTTATAAATAAGAACCAAAAGAGAAGAGTGACAATGGTTTGTCCATTTTTGCTCATAAGCTTTAAAGGCAGAAAAGTGGATTGATTTACTTTATGAAGTTTCTTCAAAAGAGTCCTTTTATGAATGTTGCTTCCTCTGGAAAGGAGGCAGTAGCTATGATCAGCATTTAGTAACAATATCTTAACAATAATATATAATATATGATAATATATTAAAATAATATATCATTTATATTTAATTAATATAAAATACTCAAATGTTTGTAATGGATCCTAAGTTAGCATTGTCATTGTTTCAACAGGCTCTTTTTTAAAATTTGAGATTGTAAGTTATAAATTCTCCATTGTACTTATATTAGGTATTGACTGGAAAAAAATGTAGATAGAATTCTAAAGGAAAACTCTTGGACTCTGCTATGTTATTGTCTTCTGGGGGTCTTACAGTAGATAGTAGTTTAGCTTACAAATTAATAGTATCAATTTAGAATAAATTAAAATATTTACTAAGCATTTTTTACCTTTATGCACACTCTATACTATTGAACTCAAATCATTTGATTTTATATTTCTTATGTTTCATAGTAGGCATCTATGTAAAGAAGAACAGACTCAGCTGTGAGGCATCTATTTACCCATATTTAATGTTAAAGCTAATTTAGCCACATCACTGGGTGTAAGTCTTCCTAGTAAAACTTGGTTTTAGTGTGTGTGTGTGTGTGTGTGTGTGTGTGTATGTACTATTATATGTACATATATATAGTAGTACATAGATATGTACTAATATTTCTAATGTATCATTTAATGACAAACTACTATATGTTTTGAATCAACATAGAAAAATAATCAGCAATGAATAAGAAAACATTCATTTCTTCAGTTATATTCAAAATAGTGTAACACTATATGACATATATATACAACATATTATTAAAACTTTTATACTTAATTTTGAATTTCTTAAAATGATGATTCCCAGCACCACAAAAATCTCCCTAAAATAAGAAGCCTTCTGTAATTTAAACTGAAATAGTTAGCTAGTGCTAATAGTACATTTACTTGTTGAGGTTCATTGATGCAAATGTATATGTTTAATTCAAGGCTTCGTATAATTTTTTTACAACATTCAAGTCTCTGAGAAAAGACTTTTTTTTTTTCATCTGTCATGGAGCTTGAACCCAGAACCTGTGCATTGTCCTTGAACTCTGTTGCTCAAGGCTAGTGCTCTACCACTTTGAGCCAGGGCACCACTTCAGTTTTCTGGTGGTTAGTTGGAGGTAAGAGTCTCATAGACTTTCCTGTCTGGGCTAATTTTGAACAGTGATCCTCAGATCTCAGCCTCCTGAATAGTAGGATTATAGGCATGAACCACCAGTGCCAGCTAACTTTTCACTTCTTATATTCCATCAACACCTTAGTTTTCTTGACCTCTCAAAGTAATATCTTCTTTCTACACATTTCCTTCTATAATTTCTTTTCCTCTCTGTCCAGTCTCTACATTCATTCTCCTCATTTTCCACCCAATGTATTTATACCTTGCCTTATACCTTTTATTTCTGCCTTTCTCAAGTTCATTTCAGTCTTTTCTCACCTTAACTCTTCAGTTACACTTATTCTTTGGTGATTAATTGGAGAGTAGTTGTATGATCAATTGGATGGTTAATTGGAGATGAGTCTCACAGACTTTCCTGCCCCAACTGGCTTTGAATATCTACCCTCAGATCTCAGCCTCCTGAGTAGCTAGGATTACAGGTGTGAGCCACCAGCGCCCTGCTAAAAAAGACTTCTGAATCTTCTCTCCTTGCACTAGGACAATTGCTAGAACAATTCTGGGAAGTAAGCAAGGTGGGTTTGTTTTGTTTTATTTTCATTTATTTATTTATTGTTAATTTGTAAAATTCTCACCACTGTGACACTTTTTGTCCAGAGGTCCTCAAGAACAAAGGGCAAAAGATTCAGATACGGTCTACACTTTCTCCCTAGCACAGTATAAAGGGGTTCAAGAAATACTTGTTGGGTACAACAAAGGAGCGAACCAAAACTTTCACTTTAAATAAGTAACTGTTTAATTCATCCATGGTTGGGCACAAGAAAGTACTTGAAGTGACTGGTACATTTGAGTTTATTTGGGCTGGCATTCACCTCCTCCCATCCTTCCACCTCATTCAAGTCTCAAAGTAACTAGGGAATCCAGACCAACCAGCATTTAAACAAGATTACAGAGCTGGTGGAAGTCAACTATTGGTATTCCATTTTTCCCCAGGTCCCAGCGTTGTCCACATTTGGGTGAGGTCTTGCTGTCTGTAAAGGCTGCAGATCCTATCTGCCTGCTCAGCGCGATCCTACCTTGCTGGGTCTCTCCTTTCCTCCCTTACTTTAGATCTGCCAGTATTTCCAGCTCTGTTTATTTCTTCAGGGCTTAATTACTGACCTGTTAAATTCCCTGCTCTTAAGCTCCATTGCATCTGGGTAAAATGGAAAAATAAATACCCCAACTTATTAAATAACTGATCTTATTTTATACATAATCTAAGTCAATAAACTCCTGCCCGGACCTCGTAGTGATCTTATGAGTCACCCGCCAAGCAGAGAAAGTGTTTGTAGCAACCATCTTCCTCCTCCAACCAGGTTCATCCATTCCACCAAAAGAGCTGAGCAACCAAAACTTCTAGACCTGTATTTTTATCCTTTCCCCCAAAGCTCTCTTCATCTCTGCCGTTCATGACCTATCAATTTAATCTTCCACTTAAGATTTTGAGAACACTAATTCAGACCATTAGACCTATCATGTCTTTATAACTTAGATAATCTTCACATACATAAAATATAACTCCTACTAAACTTAGTTTGCTATGGATCTTGGTGAATGTGAATAGGAAAAAAATTGGGAAAAGAAACAGTTTTAATCCACACATTGATGCTTCACTTTGGCAGTTAGCAACAATGTATCTTATACCAAATTATATTCACATCTTTTCGGTGTTTAAACTGTCTGAATATTTTTCCTTATTGTTCTTTGTTTCATTTTTTTCTTGTCTGAATATTTTTGTAGCCAATTTTTAAATTAGGTATGGGCAATATTATTTTCTAACCAATTATTATGTGTTGCCTGTGAACAAAGTTTTCTTTCTCTGTTCATTTTCTTCCATTAAACTCCATTCATCTGTATTCCTCCCTAAGGTCAGAGAACAAAGAAAGCTGTTTGTCATATCTGCTGCAGTCTTTTGATTGACTTTAGGGTAGGTCCCAGTTTGTGTAAAAATTATTGCTCTACCCCAGCATTGGTAGTTCACACCAGTAATCCTACTACTCAGAAGGCTCAGATCTAGCTACTCAGGAGTCTGAGATTGAGGTTCAAATCCAGCCTGGGCTTATCTCCAATTAACCACCAGAAAACTAGAAGAGGAGCTGTGGCTCAAAATGGTAGAGGGCTATCCTTGAGCAAAAGAGCTCAGGGACAGCACTCAGGTCCTTAGTTCAAGCCCCACAACCACAGAAAATGATGATGATGATGATGATGATGATGATGATGTCTTTGATTCTTATGAAACACTGCCAATTTTACTTCATAATCAGAAGAAGTTTCTATTGATGGTTTTTCAGTTCCAGATGCCTTTGGCTTTTGCTGACAACTTCCTGCTTGCTTCACAGATGGCACCTTTTAGTTGTTTCTCCCATGTTGGGAGGGGCAAGGTGACTCTCTAGGTCTTGAATTCAGTTATATATTAAAAGTGCCAGCAGTATGATTTATGTTTGGATTCAACTCTGCTTATGATGGAGGAGAAAAAAGAATCAAGATCAAGTCTTAGTTTGGGTGCCTACTTGGGTAGACAGGAAAGAGTCATAGAATTATGACAAAAATCTTAAGAAACTTAAGTTTTTAAAGCCTTTTTTAAAAACTAAGTTTTTAAGGGCCGTGTAACCACACATTCAGAACAAATGTTATGGAAGCATCACTAGAATGTGTTAGACTCCTGGAACCTTCTGCATCTGTCTCTGGCCAGTTCAACCTGCCCACATGACCACTTGTTCCCTTCTGGAACAAATCTTTCATGTTTTCTTCATGAGGCAGACCCCTACCAACAATGCAGTATCACACAGTATGACACTCCTGGGTAAAAAGAAGAGCAGGATTCTTTAAACATGCAATAGGGCAGAAAAGGAAATAAGGCTTAAATCAATAATGGCAGTAGCAGAAAGTCAAATATTTAAAGAATTTTCCCTGAGATGCAGTGGGGATGGGCGGGAAACACAGATCTGGGCCTGCAGTACTAAGAGCCTTTGGGTCAGGGTGATATGATGGTCAGAATGATAAAGGCATAAAAGCAGAGTCCACTCAAGCATCCAGTTAGAAGATGCTTGGTGAGATTATCCAAGTGCTCTTAGGAATAACAGAGGCATCAGGGATATTATGAGAATATCAAAATAGCCTTTCTGCCGTCCCCCCCTTCTGTTGTCTTATAGAATTAGAGTATGTAGTGTCTTTCACTTATCTTACCCAATTAAAAACCTTGATTTGAATGTAACTGAGCCAGGCGCCGGTGGCTCACGCCTGTAATCCTAGCTTCCCAGGAGTCTGAGATCTTAGGATCACGGTTCAAAGCCAGCCTGGGCAGGAAAGTCCATGAGACTCTTTATCTCCAATAAACCACTTGAAAACCGAAAATGGTGCTGTGGCTCAAGCAGTAGAGTGCTTGCCTTGAGCTGAAGAGCACAGGGACAGTGCCCAAGCCCAGAGTTCAAGCCCCACAACTGACCAAAGAAAGAAAGTAACCATTCTCCAACCCTTTTGATGTTGTTGTTGTTGTGGGGCGCTGTCCCTCAGCTCTTCAGCTCAAGGCTAGCACTCTACCACTTGAGCCACAACACCATTTTTAGCTTTTTCTTCTTATGTAGTGCTGAGGAATTGAACCCAGAGCCTCATGCATGCAAGGCAAGTACTCTACCACTGAGATACTTTCCCAGCCCTCTCCAACCCTTTTATCCAAGAAAATTGAACTTTTCTTTCCAGCCCACTTTTTAAAATTCTAGTTGTATTACCTACAGTTCTATAGCCTTAGAGCAATAGTAGTTAAATATTTTATTTCTGCAAAATAGAACAATGAAAAGAATTGTTACACCTAATATTTCTCATCACATCCTGATGCTACTTCTCGGAATTCATAAAGGAGGATATTATTCAGATCTGACCAAAATTTCCAGGTCCTGAAGGAGAGAGACTTGAAGAAGTTGCATCATCCTTAACAGCTTGAATTAAGCCACCTGGAATTGCAAAATTGGGTTCATGTGACTGGGACAAGGTTACATGGCTCAAGGTTGAGCTGCTGCAATAGAAGGACTGTGATTTCTTGCACAGATTCATGCAGGAGAGAATCTTTTCTAGACATGTCTCAGAAACCGATTTACCAAATTGCTTGGTCCTTCCTTACTTTGAGCTACTATACCTGTAATTTATTTTTTTACTTTACCAAATATTTTTCTTCCTTTGCTCCCAAATAAAATGTTACCTTCATGTTTCCCAGAATATTCTTATACACTGTAGACACCACAAAATATTCAATGTATGTGAATAAATCCTATGAGCAAATCATTAATATTATTCTAATGTTTTAGGGGAACCTCAGACCATCTTGTAAAGCGGTGAATGATGACTATGATGACTCACCAGTACCCTTCTTGGATCTTCATCAATGAGAGGACTTTCATAACCAGGTAACTATATACCTACACTGTCTGCTACCCTGCTAACCAATCACCTACAGAAGATACCATGCAAAGGTTTCTAAGCATGGTATATGATAAACAAGATCAAAGATATTACTACCAGAGGACACACTGGATAAGATACTGCAAAAGTATATTCTCTTTTTTTTTTTTTGGTCGGTCGTGGGGCTTGAACTCTGGGCCTGGGCGCTGTCCCTCAGCTCTTCAGCTCAAGGCGAGCGCTCTACCACTTGAGCTACAGCGCCACTTCCGGTTTTCTGGTGGTTTATTGGAGATAGGAGTCTCACGGTCTCTCCTGCCCAGGCTGGCTTTGAACTGCGATCCTCAGATCTCAGCCTCCTGAGTAGCTAGAATTACAGGCGTGAGCCACCAGCACCCGGCTCAAAAGTATATTCTTAAAGACTGCTAAACCGTACCCTATCATAGAAAATCGCTCCTAATTCATAAACAGTGGTTCAGTTTCATTAAAAGCTACACTTCTGTTTGAATAGTTGAAACAATTATGAAGAACAAGATTATGTGAAGGATCTAAGGTTCCTCATACATGACACATCCAAAGAATTAGCTCATGGGCCATTGTATGTTCTGTCTTGGCCTCTCCCTTTCTTGTTCTTCATTACACACATCATTTTCACTAGTTTCCTCTTTAACACTAGGTTATATAACGTAAAATAAACATCTATACTGTCTTATATACAAAAAATGAATCTTCTATTACTTTGAAATAATAGTATAAGGGTTTATCAATTGTAAGGAAGAGAAAGGCTAAGTGCTATGGGACATACCTTGGGATGTAGAGATGGACAGGATGGCAGTTGAACCAAACCTAGGCAAAACATTAGCAAGATTCCTTCCTTGATAAAAGAGATGCAGTACAATGCTTGTGATCTCAACTAAGCAAGAGGCATAGTTAGAAGGTTCACAGTCCAAGCCTGGTCTCAGACACAAAAGTAGAGACTGTGTCTGAAATATAGCTAAAGTAAAACATAGCTTGAGCATGGCTCAAGTGAGAGAGCATCTGCCTACCAAGTATAAGGTCCTAAGTTCAAACCCTAATACTCAAAAAAATGAAATTAATAGGTAAGAATTGAACCTGGTTACACTAGAATATTGACAGAGGAAGGGACAGATTGAATACTAAAGAATGTAATGGCACTAAAACATGACCTGAGTCTTATGGATTGAGACTGGAAATAAAGCCAACTGATAAAAAGAAACCAGGTTAGACATTAGGAACACATAGGGCAACAAACATAGTCAAACGTGAATTAAAGCCACAAGTGGAGGATCAGGATGAAATACAAGGATAGAAAGATGACACCAAAATGGGCCTTAAAGACGAATAGAAAGGTGAGTATGAACAAAGTAATTTATATATGTGTATGGAAACTCCATAATAAAATCCCCCAGTTAATACAATTAATTTTAATATGCTCTAATAAAAGTAATGATAAATGGGCTTAAAATAGAAGATTCTTTATTCCTTTTTCATACACTTCCTGTCTGTTGCTGTGCGTAGGTACTGCCTTAAAGCTTGAGCATTCAATCATGAACCCAAGAAAACTCTTCATTTCTTGGGATTACACCCCATAGCAGGGGGAAGACACATCCATATGAAAGATAAATGCTGAAAGATAAAATAGGAAGAGTAAAGATAAAAGAGGAAAGAGAGTAAATAATAGTGTAGGTAGAGAAGGAAAGGTTCCATCCAAGTTTAACATAAGATGTGTAGGGAAGGTGTTGGTGAAGAGAGCGTCATACAGGAGAACCCTGCAGTCCTGTGGCTATGAGCATTGACAGCAAGTCAACAGCCTGAGGTAGGTGCACATCTGTCTGTGTTGAGCAAGCCAGTGGAAAGGAGGAACTGAAGTGGAAAGATAAGAGGAAGAACGTGAGGTTAAGAGAAAATGGCACCAAAATATGTAGGGTTTCATCAGTCATTTTGAGACTCAGCTTTTCCTATTATATAAGATAGGGCAAAGTCATGGAAAGATATTGGACATATGAATGACAACATTAGTTGGCCACTCTCTTAGAAACATATCAAAAAGGGGACAAGAATAGAGGCATACAGTTACAATGGAACTGATGGCTTCAGTAGAAAGGATGGAGGCAGTGAGATAGAAAAAAAACAATGTATGTCCTAAATTTAGTTAATCCTCATTTCCAAGTTTACTTGATTCACGTGCTCCGCATCTGTATATTAGAAACAGGTCGAATACTAATCATATTCAGATCTTTTCCTTGATGCCATTCGCTAAGTGTTATAACTATTTTCACAATATTTACATCATATTCTGCATTATAGGTAATCTAGAGACAACACAATGTTTACTTAGCTACATGCAAATACTGTGTCACTTTTTTGGAAAGACTTGAGTGTCTGCAGACTTTGCTATCTGTATGAGTTCTGAGCCCACAGATACCAAAGAGCAGGTTATATTTAAAGGAAGAGACAATGGGATTTCTTGAAGGATTTGATGTGAGGTGGGAAAGACAAAACTAATCAAGGAAAATTCTAATGATATTGATCTAAATGAATGGAGTAAATATTTTTTTCTATTATGAAGAGTATATGAAGGATATGTTTGGGGTTTAGGAGATTGAGAATTCAGTCCTGGACATGCGATGTCTGAGAATGAACAAACTCATCAAAGAATAAGTGTAATTGAAGCGTTAAGGTGACAAAAGACAGAAATGAAATAGGGAAAGGCAGACACAAGAGGTACAAAGCAAGGTATAAATATATTGGGTGGAAAGTGAGGAGAATGGATGTGGAAACTGGACAGGAGGAAAAGAAATTATAGAAGGAAATGTGCAGATACAAAATACCACTTTGAAAGATCAAGAAAACTGAGGTGTTAATGGAATATAAGAAGTGAAAAGTTGGCTGGCACTGGTGGCTTACTTACTCAGGAGGCTACTCAGGAGGCTGAGATCTAAGGATTGCAGTTCAAAGCCAGCCCAAGCAGGAAAGCCCATAAAACTTATCTCCAACTAACTGCTAGGAAACCAGAAGTGGTTCTGTGGCTCAAAGTGGAAGATCAAAAAAGCTCAGAGACAGTGCCTAGGCTCTGAGTTCAATCCCCCTGACCAACTAAAAGAAGAAAGAGGAGGAAGAGTGGAGAAAGAAGAAGAAGAAGAAAAAGAAGAAGAAGAGGAGGAGGAAGAGGAGGAGGAGGAGGAAAGATGAGACTATGGGAAGTCAAAATGAAATACTGAGAATTTAAAAATACATTATACACAGATGAGTGATGTTGAAGGCTGGTGAAAGTAACATCCATACAAAATTAAAAGAGAGGGGCAGAAAGGAGCTGGGAAAGGTAAGAGGTGTTTTTTTTGTTTTGTTTTGTTTTGTTTTTTTTTACTACATTTGCCTCTTCTTAAAGAAGTGTCTTGAAAGATAACAGTCTACTCCGGTGTTCTCTGTCGTGTGTTCCTTTGGTACCATTAAAGTGTAACCAACCAGCAAAACACATTTAATACTCTGGGTTTGGCAAAGAGACAGTACAGCACATTACAGGGAAATGTACTGAATTGTGTGCTTACTTTTCTGTTTCTCAGCTCTGCTTGATTCATTCAGTTCAGCTCACAGATATGATTCTTGTTTTATCCATCAAGGACATTACTACACTTCATCTGGGATTGTTCGTCACAGCCCTTTCTCCTAGTCTATTTCAGCTAGGTCACAGCATTTTGTCTTCTGATTCCCAAGGAAGCCAAGGATTTCATTACTCAGTTCTTTAGACCTTTGATTGGAATCCACTCTATTCATGCACCACATATCCCCGGTGGTGATCTCTAACTACCTAGTGGGACTCAATGACATTTCCATGCAGGTTCCTCTCTCCCCTGAAAACACCGAAGACAGATGGGATGGGCAGCCTATTTGCTGTTCTTCATCCTTCTGAACTTGGGAATCTTGTTCATCTCCCTCATCCAAGTATGGATGTTCTTTACTATGTTCTAGTCACCAAAAACAAAAAGTACTCTTAGGAAAAATAATACATTGTTTAATTTTTCACATATTCCTTACCTTGCAAAGACTTCATTTTACAAAGCTGTGATCACACTGTGGCTTATGTTTACAGATATTTGTAATTACTCAAATATAATATGTTATATGTAATACATTAGAAATGTTTCTCCATCCCACTAAACAATTTTTTCTGAAATGATTTGAAGGATGCACTATCATTCTAAGCTATAGAAATGTCACTCTGTAGACATTCTTTTAACTCTAGCCTACAAGATGGTGCCAATGATTAAATACACAAGACTGGTTCACAAAAGTGGCCCTGAGTCAAAGTGCCTAGATGAATGTAATTTTATTGCTACAAATTAGTTTTCTGGAAAAGTTCAAAGACCTCCTAGCCTTTCTCCATTATTTCATACATGGATGCTCTATAATCTTGGTAGGCTCTATACCCTTTAAGGGTAATACTTAAGTCACTTTTGCATTCTGCTTCCCAAATTGGGACAATAAAATGATTTTGGTATACGTGATGATTTCACTTTTTTAAGTGACATATTGGTGATTATGTTTTTATTTGAACATTTGTGAAAAGTATTAAGAAAATAAAACTAGCACACGCAATCTTTGATATCATAAGTATTATTGCTTAGAATAAATAAAATATATTTAAATTATGTCAGCTGAAAAATTGGCAACAGATAATTCTTGTAACTGACCTAAATTATGAAAAAGGTCTGTGAATAATTACTTGAGCAACAGGGCAATGATCTTCAGTCAGAATGCATTCCTTTTCTTTAAAATTAACACCTATAATCCAGAACCTCTTTTAGACCCTGGTATCTAAGTGTTACTTAGAGCTCTAAATGATGAAGTAAAATATTATAACAGCATAATTCCACAAGCACCAGACTACAAGATAGAATTTCTCGATATGTCATTGATGGACCATCTGCTTTCCTGATCCTGAATCATAATTTTGTTAGCAGTACAGACTCTGGGCTCTAATCAGATG